TGACCAACAAAACCCTCACTATCAGTTAATGAAGCACTAAAAGTTTATCGTATCAAGCGAAACCAGCTTAGCTCGGTAAATATGCTAATTAATGTAGACACACATTACTAAAGACTCGATGCAAGACTCCATTATAAATCTTGAACATTAAGTGTTTTCATAATGACAAAAGCAAGCTACTCACCTCTTGTTGGATATTTGTAATCAACACAGTCAGGCTGACAATTCGGCGTGTAAGCAGTTGACCAATTATAATTCAACAATAAAGAAATGTGAGTACTAAACTCCATACAGATGCATAGTTGATACTCGACCAGCTAAATATAACTGTTTTTATTCGGAATGAGGTTGAATAACATTGCGACTTAAGTACTAGTGTGTTTCTAGCGTTCATAAAAGTCATTGTGTAAGCTGGGGTAAGGTCATACATTCATTATTTTATCTTTAAACGAAACCCAGAACATCCAGGTTTTAATGAGCCTGTTCGTTATGAACAACAGTGTTTGGGGGTCAAATATCAAACTTGAATGCTATTCATGCTCAATTTATACAAAGAAAGGATGCATCATTTTCAATGCCAAACCACTTGCATTCAGGTACATGTGTCAACCATTGTATCTGCATTCATAATACAAATACTGTATTTTGCAATTGCATGTGTTTTGTGCTTTGAAACCTTTGTATGAAGATTCAAAGTTTGTGCTGGAGACACATATTTGTAGTTGTGAAATTGAAAGTGAGTTGAGTGCTGGACACAGAGAAACTCCCAGTCTAATCTAATGACTCTATTTCCATGTGCTCTGGGTGACATCCCCTAGGCCACTTCTGTGTTACTTGGCCGTAGAAGTGTCACATTGTGTTGCATGTGGAACTAGTCAAAGTCTTTATTTAGCTTGGCATATCACCACGTCACAAGATCTCTGTCCATATGACCCAGGGTGCGCTGCTCTATTGTCAAAGAAGTGAAAGGAGCCACTATCAACAGAGCTGGTAATTGAAAGTGGAATTAGATAAAGTTGCTATGTTGTACAAGTCATCAGATGTGTGTGAGAGAGTCTGCTTTTTAATTGACTGAAACCAGCCATTACTACTATAGATATGATCTGTTAAAACAAAATGCTAACAGTATCGCTTTTCATCACTGGAAGTCTTGATCCACTACTTGCTAGATTCATCCATGGGAGAGGGGATGTCGGTCCCAGACGATTTGGAGCAGACGCTGGAGGTGCTGTCGACAATCAGTGGTGGTGAGTCTATTACCCTGAGGGGCTCAAATGTGCTTCAAAGTGAATCAATGAAAGATATTATGCCGTGTTTTTGCATGTTGGAAATTTGGCAAATGGGTATCTGACCCCAGGTGTCTTTAAGGATGTTTAGGTTAGTGTATTTGTTTATAGTGTCGTGGACAGTCCCAATTAATCAACTGTCACACAAATCAGTAAATGGGCCAGCTTTAGCCAACATTGCTAATTTCCAGCTGTTGTCCCCGGCCAGATGATAATAGACACCTTTTTAAAATCACAATACATCAACAGCATTAGTTATTAAAAAATGTTTCACCAGACAAGTAGTACTTTAACCCAGTGTGAAAATATGTAAGAGTGTACTTATTAACCTAGGGTTAGGGATACAACAAAATGATATGTTCGTGTCTTTTAATAAATATAATCATATATCTTGAGGTTTTGATACGCAATTATGTTGTTCAAATTGAGCGAAAGCCATTTAAATAATGCATTTTACAAATTGAGAGATTATCGAACCACAAATATCAACATTTATAGCATTCAGCTTTAATGCTCAAATCCTGCGTGCCTTGTCTTAATCTTATCTGTCTATATTTGTGTGCATGAATACAAGAAAGTCATTGCATATTTTGAATATTTCTTCAGGAACACACATAGAGGGAATTTCTCCATCTGTGGGAGTATTTGCGAATTATCTGAGTGATCACTGTGTTGTAGCCACAATTAGGGACACTAAGGTTCAAAAGGTTAAACCTCGTATTATTATTAAGAGAGACATAAAACATTTTGTGGAGCAGGGTTTTGTTCATGATCTGTTTGGGTTTGATTGGGGAAATCGATCTGTGTGCTGATGTAGAAACTGCATGGTCTTATTTTTATCTTGATTTTATGGAGGTCATTGATAGACATGCACCCCTGCGTACATTTAGAGTAAAGGGACGAGACAATCCTTGGTTTTCTGCTGAGCTGTCCAGTCTCCTTCATGAGAGAAACACGGCCTGGGCAAAGGCTAGGCAATCAGGCTCAGAGGTAGAATGGCTGCGTTTTAGGCAGCTAAGGAATAGCTTCACTTCAAATGTCAAAAGTGCAAAGTCGAAGTATTATTTGTCAGTTACCACAGAAAACCTAAATAATCCTAGGAAATTTTGGAAAGCCATAAAATCGATATCCACCGGTGAGATCCGTAATGAGCTACCTCCGTGCCTCACCACAGCATCTGGCACTATATCGGACAGGGCCACTATGCTAAATTGCTTTAATAAGCATTTTGTGTCCTGCGGTTCTATGTTTGATTCTGTGACTAACTCTGCTTCTGTGAACACCCCAATCCGTGACTCTGAACAATGTGGTCTGGAAAACCCTTTCAGTTTTACTCCTTTTACTGTCAATGTTGTTCATGAAACCTTATCTAAGCTAGATCCTAAGAAACCGGCTGGCCCGGACAACGTAGAGCCTTTCTTCTTAAAGATAGCTGCAGATTTTATTGCTCCACCTCTTACTACTCTTTTTAACCTCTCCCTCAGCATGAACACAATTCCAAAAGTATGGAAGTCAGCGTATGTCTTTACTAAAAGGAGGGGAGGCAACTATTTTAAATAACTATAGGTCAATCTCTAAATTGTCAGTTCTGGCGAAGGTGCTCGAACGCCTAGTGAGTGAACAGGTAAAGGAGTTTTTATGTAAAAATGATATCCTGTCTAAACATCAGTCAGGCTTCAGAAAGCAACACAGCACCATCACTGCCACAATGAAAGTGGTGAATGACATTACGAGTATTTTAGACAATAAGCAGAGTTGTGCAGCTCTATTTATTGACCTTTCCAAAGCGTTCGATACCGTCGATCATCGCATCTTAAAGCAGAGGCTACTCAGTATCGGCATATCCAGCCATGCAGTGGGTGGTTTGTGAACTACCTCTCTGAAAGGTCCCAATGTGTTCACTTTGATGGGCTGTCTTCTGAGTGGTTGAACATTACTAATGGTGTACCACAAGGTTCTGTTTTAGGTCCACTTTTATTCTCCATCTACATCAACAGTTTAGGTGAAAATGTGGATGAAGCTACTTTACATTTTTATGCTGATGATACCGTGATGTATGGTGCAGGTCCCTCCATTAAGGAGGCTGCTGTTAAATTACAGGCTGTTTTTAACATTATTCAGACTCAGCTCTCTGAGCTTAAGCTTCTTTTAAATGTTGATAAAACCAAGGTAATGCTCTTTTCAAAAGCCAAAAAGACACCAGAGCCTGTTTTGGATATTGTTACTATGCAAGGACAAGTACTCAAAGTGGTTACCAATCAATGTCACTGTGACCCCACAACACAATAATACCAGGAAAAAAACATTATGATAAATGTAGTTAATGAAATATGAAATGATCGAGTAAGACAGTTTGGCAGAACATCTGTAGATGACCGGCAAACATACAAAATCACATGATGGTCTGAGGCAGAAAACTATGACTATATTAGGTTTCCAAGACATGAGAAATATTTGGGAAAACTTAATTTAGCGAGCATCATGCAGCATTCATTTTAATTAACATTTCTTATCCCTGAATCAGTCTTGAAATGGTTATAAATCTTGATCTAAGTTAGGTTTCAAGTTGGGTTTTGTGCAGTTTTTTTATACAAAATAAATTGTAACTGGCATCAAAAACACAAACAAAAACAGATAACCATAGATCTCAACTTCTATGTAAATGTAAGACAACAACAAATCCATTCTTCATCTGTTCAAATTAATACTTCATCCTATATCGGGAAATAAAAAAAGGCAGATAATATTAAGTCGGATAGATTGATCAGTTTTTGATATTGTCAGGATTTTCCATGTATTGCCGTTGTTTGAAAGACAGAAATAGAGTAGCTGTATGGATTGATTCTAATAGTCTTAGATGATATAACCAGCTTTATCTCTTATAAAATCAGAACAACAGTGCAGTTTGAGAATAGCCAGAATGATTGAGTTAGCTGGCAGTGTGATTAGGTTTGAAGGAGGGCAAAGGTTTTGATCTCTGCGACTCTGCCTCTTCGTCATGATTGACTAATCAATCGAATGAATGCCACATAAGGAGGAGTGCATGACTATCTTCGCTCGCTGCCGTTTGAAGTTCAAATCAGGAATGTTTTCTGCGATTGTGTGCTGATAAATTAGGTGAAATAAAGATAATGTGATATACGGATTGCTCCAGTTTTACTGTTCTCCCCATTGCCAGTAATGCCTACAAAAATCTGAAACCTTATGATGCCGCTGTCAGAAGCTCCTATTGTCCGAGGTGCTGCATATTACATGAGTCGTAAACAGGACTATTAGGTTATCGTCAATGTTTTGTTGACATTGACGACCCTTGGCATAATGTCTTATCGAGTTAGAGGAGAAATAAAAAGCAGGAAGAAGGTGTTTTCGGTTGAAACGCCTAATCGTTTTGGAGGCTGCCGCTTGCTGTGGAATTGTATTGCATTAAATCATGCTGATATACATAAGGTGGATAAACCATCTCAGTCTAATTCAGGAGCTTTTTGTCAAACTGGCAATAGACTGAGACTTAATAGCGGCCATAAGACCTGATATTTGATTACAATTCAGCTGTTTTTAATATAATCATTCATAGTGATAGAGGCCTTGTGTTGAAACCAATCACTAGTTTACTCATTAGCATAGAGGGAGTTGTTTGTCTGTTGTTGGGAAGATTATGAGATAGGGAACACTTCCTTAAAAGAGGGAACTTTGGGATTTAAGCCTTTGCAGACCGTTTACATGTACCAAAAACTATATAACACACTACAGGAAGGGACTAGCCGCTCACGCCTAAATGTGTGCTTACTTTTGTACCCTGGTGAGTCCAAATATCACACGCATATTTGCCAAGCTAGTATAATTAGCTGTAGGGGGGTTTATGTCATCCCTCCACCCTCTCTTCCTGTGATAAACACAGTGCTGAACATGAAGCGAGATAAACAATCACACATTCAGAAGGGCAACACAGCGGCTAAACCGAGGCGGAGGAGGAGGAGAGGCAGCGTGTGGAATAAGCTAATAGCATGAAACCTATAGAGATATGACGATGTCTCTTTTTGAGTTAATTCAAGTGAGCCAGGAGCTGATGAGCGGACTGCTTCACAATGTGTCCGTGTCTCTCGGTCTGCTGACCCGACTCACACACAGCAGGAGCTGCAGGTCTACAGGTCAGTGTTAGTGTGGGATGGTTGCGACGATTCAGGTTTTATTTTGTGGATTTCAATGTCAAAAGAGCGTTCTGTTTTTCAAATCAATGTGACAGGATGACAGGATTTCCTATCGGCACGGGGAGATTCCCCCTGCCGTGTTTCCCCCTCATCCTTCAAACATCATGGAAGAACTGCACTTATTAGTTTCCTTGCTGATGCTACAGTCTGTTTGCGGTAGTTATGGATCATGCCAAAATAAGTTGCTCTTGACTATAGTAGGAAAATATTGAGCATACCAAATGATTACCAGTACTTTCTGTCTATTAAAAAACCCCAATATACCTTGTGGAGTTGTTCAAGGACACTAGTTCCTGCTTGGTTTCTGGTCTTTGTGCTAGGGTTATATTGAAATTGTCAATATTCTGAACGTCCCAACATGTTTCTTTCTGTTGAAGCTTAGCTGTCACTTTAAGAGTTGTCTTTGCTGGAGTGTTGCACTGTGACCTCTGTAACTGATTACCTGCTAATAGCCTTTGTGAGTACTCACTACAGCAGCAGAAATGTCTGTTAGCGTGGTTAAGGGACGGACAAAGAAACTGACAGACTGGTGTTTGAGTTCATCATGTCTGAAACTCTCTGCTGTGTCTGTCAACCTGCAGAAAGGAAGCGGAAACATAAATCCACGCAGACCAGCAGACGAGGTGAGTAGCAGGCACATTTCCACTGGCTGCACTTTGCAAAGGTCATATCGTAGGCGTAGCTTGGGTCAAGTTTAGTCGGTGTTTCTGTGGTACGGCCTAATCAATATTTGTCCACATGAACTTTCTCACCAGGTCAGAGGAGTAATCTTGGTTTGTAGACATTATGTGGGAGGATGATTTTGTGTTGGAGCTTTTCTGTTCAAACACTGTAATCCCTTCAGGCTTCACCACATCTGACTTCATGTGCACCACCACCAATGATACTGGCAGCCGAAAAAATGTCATGTTTGTTGTTTGGGTGTAGTTAGTTTCACCATTTTGTGTCACTTATGGTTCCCAATCAAAAAAGATACAGCCAAATTGCCACATTTGAGGCTTCAAAACTGTACTGCGCAAACGAATGAGCCATTACACAGTGACTACGTCCACTCTTATATAGGGTCAATGAGTTGGTGATGTAATGCTTTCAAAATACGGCAGGTCCCGGCTGGACTATGAAGTGTTTCCACGTCAGTTTAATTTGTTTAAATCGTAGTATTTGGAAAGGATCTTCTAAAACCTCTTAAGCCCAAGCTGACACCACTGTTTAAGGAAAGAGTATTTTAAAGACTGAACACTACATGCAGTTGATTGAGAGGATTACTTTGTGTGTGCATGTGTGTGATCAAGACATGGACAGGTGATTTCATTTCTACACCAGTAAATATGATAGTGTCATGCCCAGTTTGCCACAGAAGCAGGGAGGGGCACATGGGAGAGGAGTGGTGTGATCACTCTCTTTGAAAGGTGTGTGTATGTGTGTGTGTGTGTGTGTGTGTGCGAGCGAAAGAGACAGGGAGGGTTTGGAAGAAGAAATGAGAGCAGGATGTGGTACTCTTCTCTCTACCTGCTGTGAGGGAGGAAGAGGGAACAGACGGGATGAAGGAGCTGACGGGAAGACGGGAATATGGAGCGGAGAGGTTTGTCTGCATCTCGCTGGAGGAGATGGAGAGCTACTTCAGATGCACCCAGTGCTGCCAGCAGCTGCATAGTGAGTTTATACACAGATGTGGTTTGAACTATAGTGTGTGAGCTGTGTCCGTGCATGGAGAGTCTCTTGTTCATGGGGAAGGAAGTTCTGAGCATGAACTGAAACGACTTTTTTCTCTTAGCTGGGTCTTTTTAGCCACGTGATGATCACAGGTCTTGGATGCAGTTTCCAGTTTTGGCCCTTGACCTTCTATGACCCGTAACTCTTATGAAAAAGTCTTCAGTGACCTCTTGCTGCAAGCAACCATAGCAACCCTTAACACATGTAGAAAAGCAACAGTCCCTGCTGTCATGAGTTTCTTTTTCTAATGAAGAGAAAGCTTTCATGACAAAGAAGTTATTCTTGTTTTATTGGAAGTAAAAATGACTAGTGGCGTTCACTGGCCTTACAAAGTCTGCAAGGTGACTACAGTACATATAAACTGAGTGTGGCTAAACAGCATTTGGTCTTCAAGGCGTTTTCACACGCTTGTATATCCTATCTCCTATTTCTACATCATAGCCCCTGCACATATTTACAAGAGAAGATAATCAAATCCAAAAATAGCGCAAAAACAACGGTTCCTTCTGATAAATGTCTCCTTCCTCAAAAAAAAGATTATAAGAGTTTATTACTACATCCTTATTTACTCAAGGCGGTTCAATAAAGGTTGGCATAATTATGCTACTGCCTGATGTGTGTTATCGTGCATGAGGAGTGTGCAGTGTTAGCTCGATGATTTTCAGATCTCACTGCCTGTCAGCGACGGTTCAGAACTATTCTGGTCTGTTTCCTGTGGTCTGTATTTAGAGAAGACGTGTATTTTTAGAAAGAGCTATTGTAGATATGCTTTGTCACTGGAACAGGCGCTTCAATCTTGCACTTGATGTTGCTTCATCAACTCTACTTACAGCTTGTTTTATGGTATTTAATGGTTTCTAGATTTCTCTTGTTGATCTGTGAGGCCCTATATTATACCACAGAATACACTTTTTAAATCTCGACCATCTCATGGTTTTTTTTAACGGTCAGCTGCTCTTACTTCCTCTGGTGTTTTCCTGCAGCATGACCCATCCTGACAGTCTTCCCCCTATGTGTCAAAACGTCCTCTTTCCTCAGTATTCGCGTGGTTTTGCTTTCGTTTTCATGATTTTAATCGTCTTTCGCCTGAAATCATTCATCATTTAGTTGTGTTCTCTGTATTTTATATGTCTGTGTTATACGTTGCTGCCTTCTTGGCCAGGTCAGCATTGAACATTTGATTTGATCTCAATGCTTTCATCTGGTTAAATACAACAATACAATTCCTCATTAGACACCTGCTGACCTTTTTAAATAGAAAATCCCCGGGCATGATCAGTCGTTCCTGATGTGAGTGCCCCTGACCCCTCCTCTTCTTCAGGTTTATTGTCTTCATCCTGATCAGGGATTTATTGGAGGGATGTGAGCCGGATTTGAGCACAGCAAGCGCCATAGACACACATTAATGAGCTGAGTTATTGCACGTCTGATCAGAGGAGTATTGAATTTATATTATGGGTTTTACTTGAACATGTGGGATTAATGGCAGACTGTCAACAGGTTTCATAGGTTTCTGCTTGTTTTCCTGCTCTTATGGTTCTCCCCAATATCCTGCTTTATCCCATAGACCAGTTTTTCTTTAGTTTCATTAGCCAGTAAATTGCGGACTATTGAGTTGTCAAACTGTCCACGTGTTCACACCTTCAGTTGTCTTCCTTCGTTTCTTCTGCTGCTTGTTTCGGACTCTGAGTCACTTCTCAATTGGCCACTTCCTGTTTACGCTCCAGCCGGCCAATAGTGTTTGATCCTGCGGAGGAAGGAGTCGATAGTGTTTCATTTTAGCCAACACAGACGTGGGGGGGAAAAGTCTCCAATAAATAATTCAGCTGGGAGTTATTCTAGCTGCAGTCTGCAACACATCCTTCATACACACACACACACAGGTCTCCTGTACATCCCGTATACACACACTGAAGTCTGCTCTGCATCCCATGTAAACACACACTGATCTCAACAAATATGTTAAACTTGAGGTTTATAGTCGCAAGTGTCATATTAACTGATGCACTTACACACACCTAATGTCCCTCCTGTCCTAAAAATTACGTAAATCAATTTTAATTTGACCTGCTTAAGATTAGGTCATATTAAAGTTTTAAACAAAATGTGTGTCTTAAAACAACTCACAGCTTTGTTGAGCTCTGAAGTGTGTGTGTGTTTACCTACTGTCAGATTGAGATGATAGAGAGAGCACGCTGGCTATGTGACAGGAAATGGCCGAGGGTTTATAATGGTTCATTTCCTGTGTCTGTACGTTTTGACGATTTACAGTTCCACCCTGAACACACACACACACACACACACACACACATACACACACACACACACACACACACACACACACACACATACACTCTCTCTCTCTCTCTCTCTCTCTCTCTCTTTCTCTCTCTCTCTCTCTCTCTCTCTCACACACACACACACGAGAGATGCCTCTTTAATCTGACTCTTAATCTCACATATGCATTGTTTTTCATCTCCTCTTCCCGTCTAATCCCAGTTCTACGGTTCACGGTGAAAGCAGGAACCACAGATGTCAATATTTGTGAATAAAACAGTGATAACAACAGTTAATTGAGAGATGATAATTGACATGAAACCGACAAAGGTTAGGGTGGAGAATGGGCGATGTCTAATAACCAGAAGCAGAAAGATAGTGCTTGTTTTCCTCAGGGGGGCAGCATTTAATGACATTTCAGTCAGTCCAAATTCTCACTGCGTCTGTGTGTGGCACACCGGGTCCCCCTGCTGTCTTCACTGGCATTGTGTGTGTGTTTGTGTGTGTGTTTTGTGCCCGTGAGAGGGTGTGAGAAAAGCAGAGAGAAAGAGGCCACCCTCCCCTCTGGCACCGACATGAGTCTCATTTGAATTGTGAACAGCCCACACACACTTTTCTTTACATTAGGCTAATTAGATTTTTTTTTCTTGGAGCGTTTAAATGTTGTTGGACTCAGGGATATCTGACATTTGAAACATGAATGTTCCCTTCCACTAATGTACATAACTGTTGTTGAAGAAGACGTATACTTTATTCGTATCTATTTGCTTGTTTTAGTGCACTTATAAGATACCACAAAAATGCAAATGAAGTAAGAACGACAAAAACATCAGCAAGAAAAATGTAAAAGATATCATTTGGACCCTTACATACTGCCTAATGGGGAAAATAATACATTTAACGTCTAATTTCTCAACTTAATGTCATGGAACCTGGCTGGAAATTATCAAACATAGTTATTATTTTAATGAACTGTAATCATCTTTATGTATGAGCAGTTATTGCCACTGCACGGCTGAAGTCTTTCAGTGTGACATGTGAAACTGGGGGCGGACCGTGTGGAACTCCTCCTCACTGGCTGGTACAGATGGGGAGGGGGGAGGCGTGTGTGTGTGTCAGTGTGTGTGTGTGAGCTGCGCTGATCACTGACAGCTCAGTAAGCGGCTGAAGTCCTCGGCTGTGGAGGAATGGACCGCTGCGATGTGTTCCGTGTGTGAATGTGTTTTAACAGTGTGTGTGTGTGTATCAGGGGGCATACATGCACCGGCTAAACAATGGCTGTAAACCGAGTTTCTCAACTCTGCCACGATATCACCCGGCTGTGGCTGCAACTGAAGATGATGACAGGTAGAGTGTGTGTGTGTGTGTGGGTGTGACTGCGTGTCTGAGGAATCTGTTATTAGTTGGTGCGGGTGTGAGTAAGGCAACTTGTTTTCTTGTGTGTGAATATCTTTTATATGGAGAGATAAGACTATGAGAATCCTGCTGGTGCTTACCTGTGCGTGTTGTGTGTTAGTGGAAGCAAATGTGTTACGCAGTCACATAGCGGAGACTTGCCTTGCTTTTTAAGACAAAATGCAAGTCCCTTTTCTGTAGGATTGGTGCAAGTTTAAGTAGGGGTAATTTTGGAAG